AAGCATCCATGCTTCCCCCACCCCATTTTCTTACAATTCAGGACTGCAAGAGGTGATCAGGGGGATGCATGCCTACTATTTATTTTTTAAAGCCTATTCATTTAGTAATTGCCTTAATGGTGTCCTTTCTAGTTCGGGCCTTATTCTATCCCTACCTGCCGTGAGTAATTGTTCTCATCTTGAAAGCAAGACTGAGAAGACCCAGATAGGCATGGTGGATCAACATCTAGTGTTGCATGAACAATGTGTCTGATGTGGAAGGAGGTGGTGAGCCTTTACACATCATCAGAAAAAAAGGAAAAGTTACACCTGAAAGCTGTGCTCTGTTCCTTTCCTGAAGGAGCATCAGTTAGTATTACAGTAATGAGTTTTCTGTATATGTTTGGAGACCCTCATTATTAGCTACTAAACTCCGGCATTCAAAAGCAGTGTTGTTTTCATCCTTGTGCTTTTGCCTCTGTTTCAAAAGGCAGAAACATTTATTACTCTTATTTCTATAGATTTCCAAGGTGGGCCTCCTCAAATTAAGCCCTTTTCTGTCATCCAACTTGTTAAATGAGAATAAGAGCAGCCTCCTAGGGCAAGGCAGCTGCAGGAGAGAGAACAACAGCACATTGCACATTACACCGATAAATTAAAGGAAATAAATGCTGGCAAAAACACTCTTCCCTCTTCTTCTGCTCCTCCTCCACATATTCCAATGGGATTTGCTAATTGCACTAGATAAAAAGGCAACTCTTAGCATTCATCATGCATCTAGCCTGCAATTTGAGTGCTTTTAAGCAATGGCATCAGCAGTAAATGCTACACTTCCCTAATAAACATCATTACAAGGTATTAAAGTAGGACCAATTCTAATAGACTCCTGGGCTTTACTTTGCTGAGGTGTACCCACTTTTAATTTCAATGAGAAGGGCTGGATTGGGGCTCAAAACTGGCTTGATAAAAAGAAGGATTATGTGAGTAACAACATAAACCAGCTGAAGGGTCCAGAGAAGCATTATTTAAAATATTTTAAACTATTTTTCTCCTTTACAAGGAGTCAAGGTGGCTTACAACAACTAAAAGACAGTATTTAAGTTAATAAAAATGAGTGGACAATGCTAAAAGGATCAATGAATACAAACCGAAAAACATAAGCAACACCAAAATGCATTCAATGCAGTAAAGTACAACAATAATTCATTTGTAAAAAACCCTGCTTGGCAGCCATTCACTCATGGAAAGCAGGTCTTTGCCTGCTTGCGGAAGATGGAGCCAGTCTAGCCTCCTATGGGAGGGAGTTCCAGAGTTTCCAGAGTCTGGCAGCAGTGACAGATAAGGCTCTCTGCCGTGTGCCCACCAAATTCACCTGTGAAGGTGGCCGGACCAAGAGGAAGGCAAAACTAGGCGAGGCATAGAGTAAGACTCTGCTTGTTATCTGTAACACAAGTGTCCTCTTCCTATGGGACAATTCCACATCTTAGAAAAATTATTTCCAGACTTCAACCTTCAGAATTTCCCTGTCAGCATGGTTAATGGCCATAAAAGTTTTTATTAAAAAAAAATCTCTAGAAATATAAGAAGAGGTATAAGGAGGGCACATCAGGTATAGGCAGAAACAAGGATGTTGCCAAGTTTTCAGGTCTGAGTCTTTAGTACCAAGCCCTAAGTCAGAGTCCCTAATAAAAATGGAGGGTGCGTGGGTTCTGAGTCACAAGTTGAATCCAAGGCCTTGGGGGGGGGAGCCCTGATTCGAGTCCGAGTTGCTGGTGCAATATAAGTCCAATGTGACAGTGAGTCTCATGACTTGAGTCCCCATCTCTGGGTGAAAAGCTTGGGTGGTTGGCTGTACTTTGAGTCTAAACAAAGCAATGATTAGTCTAAAGACTTGTTCTGAAAACCAGGATTACTAATTGGAACATGTACAGTGGTACCTCGCAAGATGATTACCCCGCAAAACGACGAATCCGCATGACAATGTTTTTCGATCACCATTGCACTTCGCGAAACAGTGTTTCCTATAGGCGATTTTCGCTATACGATGTTTCGGTCCATGCTTCGCAAGACGGGTTTTTTCCCCCAGGACCGATGCTTTGCAAGATGACGATTTTAACAGCTGATCGGCGGCTTCGCAAAATGGCTTCCCTATGGGTGATCTTCGCAAAATGGGTGTTTTCAGGACTGATGCTTTGGAAGACAGCGATTTAAACAGCTGGTCGTCGCTTCACAAAATGGCTTCGCTATGGGCGATCTTCGCACAACGATGACTACTGTCCGCATTGGGCCGTGTTAAATGGATTTCAATGCAGTCCAATGGGGAAACGCTTTTCGCAAGATGATGTTTTCGCTAAACAGCGATTTCAATGGAACGGATTAACATAGTCTTGCGGGGCACCACTGTACAGTAATTTAAAAGTGCTCCTTATGCAGAGTTCAAGCCTTCGATTTGAATGATTTTGGAGCAGAGAAGCTGGGACTAAGAAGCCATTTGAGAACAAGGAACAGAAATCCTCTTCCAATGTCAGGAAGAGGCCTGGTGCAGGATGGGAAAAGAAGTAGGCACTGCACCTAAGGCTAACCAGAAGGAGAAGGGAAAAATCGAGCAGCTGATCATAGACAACAAAATGTCTTGTGGCTCCTTGGAGACTCATGCATTTATTATATCATATGCTTTCATGGACCAGAGTCCATCTTCTCAGGTAAGTGAAGGATTACCCTAACATGGCGGATAAAAATGCATGTTGTTGGAGATGGAATGGATAGAGAGGAATGGAATCAACTGGGAATGGATGCAAACCATACAATGATAATTGCATAAAATCAACATAGTTACAATGGCCTTTATCAAAGCATTACATGGTTCTTGCAAACATTATAACATTATGCTAATTAATCCATGTTATTAAAAAAATAACAATTCCAATTCAAGTCAGAGGCAAGATTTAGAAATTAATTTCCTAATAAACTGCACATGTAGACCAGTGTTTACCTTTTACATTTCATTCTTCAAGGAAGGCAACATTAAGGTGTGCCTGGTAAGTTGAGGTGTGTGCTTACAGGTTTGTGGATGTCACTGTTTCTGATGTCACATTTGTGTCCATTTGTGTTTTGCCTAGGGACTAGCCTGTACAGAATGCAGCAGGCCATTGCTAGCAGATGATGGCACTATCATACAGTAAAACAAGCAGCTCAATGAACCCCCAATGTTGTACAGTACAGTATCTATCTCATTATTAAGTCTTGCAACAGTGGTGCCAGACTGTCTGTGGGATGGCAATAGAGCTGACATTTCAAACCTATTGCACCATCTAGTCTCTTTACTTGTGTCTCAGTTAATGCAGAGCTCAGAGAACTTGCTTTTTAGACTGCATGCTGGCTGGGGCATTCTTTTTCTGAGCAATTCTGCTATGTTGTATGCTTTTGCAGCTTATTGACGCTGGCTGGGGCATTCTGGGAGCTGTAGTTTAAAGAAGCAACTTTTTCTGAGCAATTCTGCTGTGTTGTATGCTTTTGCAGCTTATTGAATCAAAGTATTTCTACCAGCACAGTTCGGGCATTTTTGTATTTCAATGTTTCTAACCAATGTCATTTTGCTTTTTCATCAGTTACCTTGAAAGCTAGAAAGTAAAACTACTCTGTAACTTTTAAATAAACTCTATATACTAAGTTAATAATCAGAATCATTTTTTAAAAAGCTTTGGAAAGTGACTTCGAAGCCATTGTAGTATATGGTATGATTATGGCTGCAGTCTTCTACCAGATCATCAGAGGATAAGCCTCATTGAATCCAATTAGATATATTTCTGAGTAAACGTATATGGGACAAAATGAATATATTTTATGCAAACCTACATATTACTTTTAGGTAAATTAACCCAGGGCCACCCCTACCTGCCCTTCCTTTGCCAAAATCTTGGGAAGAGACGAGTTGTACTCCTCCTGGTGGTCAAAAGAGAAAAAAGCCATTTCACCCTACGCAGAAGCGATGCTCGTGTGACAGCGAATTAATACTACTGTATGTCGTTTTCCTTTGCTTCAAATCTTTTGAGGCCCTTTTAGCATGACACGGGTAGGGATCCATTTCTCAGGAAAGGCGTCTCCCCACTCACCCAATCTTTTGAAAAGAAATCCCACATCAAATGGGGTGCTGAAAGAAAGGGGATGAAAAGGCCAACTCTTGTCTTCTTGGTGGTGTATGAATGTCTCTCGTTGCAAGTAAGGACTTTGACAGAGAACCTATTCCAGAGGGCAAGATACGGCGTTTTAAAGGGGAAATGTGAACTAAAATGAATCATTTTAGGAGAGAGAGAGAGAGAGACAGAGAAGCGAGGGCGCCTCAAATACCGAATGGGGGGGGAAGGTCTACTCAAAGCAGCATCTTCCGTTCTGTACGACGTTGCCTGGACCTTCCCGCGTTTTCCCTTCATTCACCTCCCCCCCCAACCCAAATAACAGATAAGTCTCTTAAAGAAGAGCAAATTAATGGCTCCAACCAGCCGTTCGAGCGGGTAGCGCCAGCAACCCTTCATCTGGAAGGGCCCTCAGTGCGTGAAGGGGCTTCTCTCATGTGGAACAACTTGTCGCAATAAAACAGGAGCGCGAAAAGAGGGAACTTGGGGGCACAAATATAGACCCGGCGCAAAGAAAGCTCCTCACAAGGAAAAGAAAAATAAAGCGGGTTTTTCCCCGCCTTGGAGGTCTGAGTCTCCCTGTCTCTCCATCGTACCCCTGGCTAGGCTTGGAGAGAGGCTCTCTTTCCGCTTGGA